AGAAATTCTATTTTTTTTTGTATACTTTCAAGAAACATAATTGGTGATACTATTCCACATATCTTGTATGTTGTAAATTTAAGTGTAATAAATTATTCTAAAATTTTTTGTTTTAATTTGAACCCTTCATACCCAAATTTTGGAATTAAAATTACAGCATAACAAATGTTCACATTCTTTTATAACCTGTGCAGAATAAGATGTTTCATACTGGACTGAGTATGCTACTAATTATTGTTCGTAGTTACAAAGTGTTATAATTATCCTGTGTGATAACTGTCTGTAGTCCCACCTGGCATAATTATCCAATAAACCGCTTCCCCAAATCCATAAGCCATTAATTGTCACGCAAACCTGGACACATGACAATATAAAATAACAAACATCCAGCCATCCATCCTACCCAATTCTTCCCAAATGGCACATCAAATTAAAAAAAAATGGCAAATACAGAAAATATTCCCCTTTGAGACATAACCCTAGGATAGTTATTGTTTATATTTTTAAAATTAGGTAAAGCTGTCCAAAAATTAATGAAACCCCCTTCTCCCAAATAGTGTACCACAGGAAAAATTATAAATATGAAACATTCCTATTGATAAACTATCTTTGGAAAAATAAAAAATATTTGTTTCAATAAAGAAGTTGAGGATGTCCCAAAAATATATAACACTCACCATCAGGTGCTTCTCATGAAAATTTTTGCTGGAAACATCTGAGAATTTTTAACATTCAGTGAATTTATTCTCAGGTAAACAATTCTGTCAATGTTGAGTTGTCCAACATTTCAATGACTGCCTCACAAGGGGGTGGTGATGCAAACAATCTGTGAAATGTCAGACACCAACTCCACGGTCACATGGCTGATCACCCAGAGAGACCTCATTGTATAATGTAGCGAAAGCTTCAAATCACATGTCACTTAACGTTATTTTACATAATTCACTACCTGCACACCATATTCTGCATCCAGGAATTACATAAAAGTTTGTTTTGGGAAGGAAAACATAAAAAGAAGATAATTTTGCTGTTACATATATGGGTTAAAGTCAAAATCAATTTCTTTGCCCCATTTTGTTACCCAATTCCTGTATCACTCAGGGAAAACCAACAAAATTCCGATCACACTCAGGAAAAAAACCCCAACACCTGACTGTAGAGCCACAACATGGGTAAACCTACTATTCAGTACAGAATTTTCTGCATGGGAACAGTAGCAAGTACATATTTCTCTACTTTTTTTATAATATACATACTTACTCTTCAATGATCAAATACTAAAATATTCTGTGTCCTTATTTGAAAGATGCTTACAGCCACTTCATTTCCATTTCTAATGACCTGACTGTGAACATACAAGTCCTGCAAAACCCAACTGCTGACACTGCATCATCAGTAACCTACAAAACATAAAAATAATTTTATTTGAGAATGCCTGGAAACTAAAGCAGGTGACAGACTCAAAGAGTCACTGTACAGACAAAATTATTACATTACCTTATGAAAAGTGTTGACTGTCACTCTTGCTGCTGCTAATGAACTAGAATGGACACGGTACAATCTGTATTGCTAATAATCTTTTATTAAACTCTGGTGTCTTCATTGTACATATAAACAGCAACTGTTCCATGTATTTATGAATATTAACAGTAAGTTACAATACAGCTGACAAAATAAATCTCATAGATATAAAAATGAGGCAATTTTGCTGGAATGCCATTTACTTGTCACTGTTCCTTAAAAAATATATAAAGTTCAACCAAATATTATATGGAAAATGTTAATTCCTAAATACATATTTTAAAAAATGGTTTCTCTTTTTTCTTTTATAGACTAGATTATCAGTAAAGACATGGCAGGTGCTGGCAATTATGCGACACTCACATATAGGCATACACTTTTAATTTCTGTTCAATTATTTTGCATGTGCATTTGTGTGTATATATATGCCAGATCCACTTTTACATGGATAGCCAGCAAATTGCCCCACGCATAATGGTCCATTTGGACACAGGATAGTGACAATGCAGCAAATAGAACTTCTACCCTTGCCATAGCTGCATGTTCAAACAGTAACTATCCCATACCCCACATTCAACTTACACAATAGAGGGCATCCATTCAAAATCCATTTACATTAAATTCCTATTCTGAAAGGGCCTTGCTTTTTACAGAGAGCACCACGTTCCACTGTGACTATATTTTTCTCTTGAAGCCCAAATCCAAATCAGTTACAACACAGTTCACAATAAAGGCTCAAGGTAATGTTCTATTAGCAGTTGTGAGTATCTTAGAAAACTCTTCTTTCTATTCAGCAGGAAGGCAAATCTTGATACACTGACTTCAATTGTGCACCAAGATCTACAATATGAATGATTTTCCAAAGTTGACTGATAAGTAAAACAATCTGTCAGCCAATCAGAATATCATACTGGCTGTAACATAAAAGTATGAAACATAATTTGACAAAACAAACAATATACATGTTACCTTAGGTCGACCTCAAAGTTGCATTAGACTGGACAAAATAGGTTAACTGACAGATTAGTTCAAGCAGTAATGCAACTAATTTGTGTTCAGGAAGTACACAATTCAAATCTTAGTAGAAGCAACAACCAGCATGAACGAGGTTTTAGGTAACTTACCTCAGCATATTGGAAACCAAGATAATGTAACTATGTGTTTAAAGATGTTGATATGAAAATGGGTTTCCTTTTTTTTTTATAGGGAAACTGACTGGAAATTTGCTGTGGTATTACAGCTGGCAGTTGTACTGCTGGAAGGCAAAAAATTGGGGATTTGAAAATTATGCAGAACAGTGCTTAGCATTTCTTGCATATAGAGAGGAAGGACTCCCTGCTCCACAATATTTTCAAATATCTTAATGAAAATAGTTAACCCTAAAAATTCAAATATTATGTTTCTGGACATTATCCATCATCCTGCTTATATTTCAAAACACAACTTTTCAGAGGCAGAATCCAGTCTCTGGAACATTCTTTTGAAATATAAACAGGACACTCTTTTCAGACAAAAACAGGATGATGGACAATGTCCAGATATGTAATATTTGTACTAATGTACCATCATCACAAACTTTTATATCTTACGTATACATTCACATAATTTTGTAATCCCATTTTCTAGAATGTGCGAAAGCATGTGACACTTCTTCATACAGAGGAGAGTCTGCTTTCATGTAGTAAAAGCGCTCTTCGGTCTTTGAAATTAGCATCAAGTGACTTCTTGTTGCAAGGAAAAGAACACAATTTTCCCAAACACCTCACAAAATCCAGTTTTGTACCTTAGCATACTGTCTCCTTATCAAATATATTTGGTCATCCATAAAAGGTCACAGATTCAAAGTTTTTGATCATGCCATGAAAACAGAGGACTTCAGGGGAAAATGTAATGTATTTGGTTAGATGAAGTTGAATGCTGTGATTTCACAATGTTGGCTACAAGAAATGTCTTACAAGAAGATAAATGTGCTGCAACAAGATATAGGGGAAATTCTGTTTCAATGTAGGAAAAAAAGTATAGAAAATTGACTTCACATACAGTAAGTTCCAAAAAACTTGTGTAGAATCTCAAAACAAAAATTCCAAAGGATCTGTGTGGGGGAATTAAATGGTTATAAATTTAATTCTTTATTGAATAGAAGAAACCGATTCTAACCAAGAATAATATGGACTCACAGAACTATCATATGATTCTGAAAATAACATTCAAAAACTTATCTTTATCATGATTAGGTGTTACGTGAAAAGTGAACGTTCAGTACTCTACAAAGAACTCGCCTTAAACTCTGCTTCCATTTGTCACTACACACATGCAAGAAGTTTACTTTCCAATTGTGAAGGTTATGAAGATGAAAGGTCAAAATAGAATGGATATCACATCTCTCCAGGATGTGAAAGAGAGACCCCAAGATATTTCAAATGAACCAGCAACTAATTTGCTTAGTCTTTAGAAAACGCACGCACACACACACATATATTTCAGTGAGTGAGTCACTTATGCAAGACTTTCAGAAATGTGGATCTCTTAGTCAAAAGGGTAGAAACGCCCTATCCTAGATGCTTACGGAAATGTCTGTTTCATTACATTTAAATTATGCTACATACTGTCCATTATGCAGGAATTTCTGTAAACTGAGATAGCTCTATCAGCTAAGGGTTGGACAAGATAGGTTTGATACCTAGCTGAGGGAGGAATTTTTCTCCTCACTACAATGTCTAGTCAGTCCTGGGGCCCACCCAGCCTCCTATCCAACAGGATCTCCAGGGTAATCTTTCCTGGGCTAAAGTGGCAGTACTGTGTAGCCAGCCATTCACCTACACATTGTCTAGGTTAACATGGAATAAAGCCTCTTTCCTCACACTTCTACAAACATATTCATGGAATGTTGCTTAAGTACAGGGACAACATTAATTTTAACTTCAACTTCAACTGAGAAATGTTTAATATAATGCCTACACAACTTTTTAGGTCCAGTGATTGAGGCTAGCTCTTTCTAAGGGACCCAACTGAATAGGTGTTTTCCTTCACCTGAGGACGGAAACAGATCCAGTTTCCGAAACGTCGTGTTTTTATTTGTTATCTTAAAAACCAGGACGATGGATAAAGTCCAAAATCCCAACATATCAGACAATTACTTGTCTTTCCACTTCTAAATTAGAGCTTTATCATATTTTGGAAAACACCGGCTATGGTCAGGACTGAATCAGGAAACTTCTGAATGCTAATTACGCTGGCTAGTCACCAGACCATCAGAATTCCATCACTATTAAAAACAAAAGTAAAAATAACTGTTACCATGATAATAAATCAAACCAGCTTAAAAAATATTGCACATCAGACAATAGGCAGTGCACAAAATAACTCTGATGCTGTTAACAGTTCTTCTAATCACAAATTTCATTGCTTTTAAAAAAGTCTCAAGATTCAACATCATCATAAACCCAGCCAACTACGTGGGCCCTTTTTTTGGGAGGCCAGGCTCTGCCTGTCATAAGCCAGGAGTAAAACCTCTCTATAAAAAAAAACTGGGTTTAGCTGATGCGGCTGTTTGTACCTTGCGAGGGCCCCCAGACAGGGTTACAGCAAAGACTTCAATGGCAACTACAGCAGAGGAGGAGACCTTCGGTGACAGGAAGTTTGTAGTTGAAGAACTAGAAGTTGGCCTGTGAAGACGTAACTTGCCATTAGAAGACTTTTTATTTATGCGCAATATTTGAAATGTGTGATTCAGTGAGACTGTTAGTGTTCCCATGTTATAAATCCATGAAGACTAGTGCAGATAGACTGAAGATATTAGTGTGGAGTGATTGTACATTGTGTAAAGCCACAACAGTGTAATAATTAATTTGTGGGAACCTCCCACATTCTAACACACAACTTCGCCAGTCTAACAGACAACAGACAACTCCCACCTCACAACAGGACGAGGCAATAGTTATACATCGCTTACAGTCCAGCCTTCTGGAGACAAACACAAGCACTAGCCAATCGGTGCTCATAATCACAGCTCTGCCCAGCGGTAATGGTATAAAAATGCGGGCCTTCAACTGGCTTATCATCAGTCCATCGATCACAGCCATCATAGCTACGCTGACATCATGAACTGCCGTAACTCTCCAGTAACAGTGCCAGCAGACAGCTGACCCTGCCAGCACACACATCATAGGCAGCTGATTCTACCAGCGCATGCATCACTGCACCACTGGCCAGCCAGACTCACCACTGGAGAAGGACATCAGGCTGCTACAAGAAGACACTGCTTGACAACCGGCCCTTTTCACGGCCTGCAATTTTTACCATCACCACCGGGCTGAACTGGAGTCGCCGCCGGTACTCTTCAATCAAGCTTCCTGCTCTAAGTGCAGCAAACATTTGTTGTTATAGATTCAAGTGGTTGTCCAAGCAAACATTGGCATCCTACAAATTGTAGTTACAATCTGTAGGTTATTAACAAATCCAATTACCAATCCAAACCTGCGTCTTAGTCACTGTGACAAGTGACAATATTGTTAAGAAGACCAAAGAGATGTAAGTAAAGCTACTACTACCACAGAAAAACTAAGCACTGATGGAAAGGAAATAGAACAAGTGGTCTCCTTCACTTACTTGGGAAGTACTGTGACAAGTGATGGTAGTAGTGAAGATGTTAGAGTGTGGATTAGAAAGGCAAATGGAGCTTTTATTCGACTGTATCCTATATGGAAAAGTAAGATAATTTCCAATAAAACAAAAATCCATATACTCAACACTAACATACAGTCAGTCCTCCTTAATGCATGTGAAACATGCAAAGTCACCCAACAAATTAGCAAAAGAATGCAAGTCTTCGTGAATTTCTGCTTGCGCTGCATCTTGAACCTACGATGGCCAGACATCTTACCTAATGAAGATCTGTGGGAAATTATAAAACAGGAGCCAATTACTGCTCAAATTAGAAAAGAAGATGACATTGGATTGCACATATCTTAAGAAAACAAGAAGGAACAATGGAGAAAGCAGCATTAGATTTGAATCCACAGGGAGCATGAAGACATGGAGAAGATCTGTAGAAGAGGAAATAAGTGAAAAAAGAAAGACATGGAGAGGTGAAGAGGTTTGAAAGTCACAGAACAAACTGGAAAAACTTCACATCAGCCCTATGCTCTGAAAGGACCAATAGGAGGAGGAGGAGGAAGAGATGACTATAAAAGCCAACCATTCAATCTTATCTTGAGCCAGTTCAATCTAATTTACATTTAAAAGCCTATTAATGTAAGATTCATTTAATATCATCCTCCTGGGGTTTCTTTCCACAAGGTTCTACATCGTTAAGTTTAGTATGAATTTCTTTTTATCTGTGTAGGCTGTAAGGACATCTCATCAATATAAAATACTATGGTTTTAAAATTACCCAGTGATTTTATAGATAAATTCCACATTTCTGAAATAGGTGAAACAAACAGATTAACTTTGTAAATTTCCTAGTACCATACTGCATTCATACAAGGGGGTATGGTGTCAGAAAAGTGAAATCTAGACAAAGGCACACAAACAAACTGAATCGAATCTTATACCCAAATTTGCATCTACAGTTCTTTAGTCTGTCTCACACACTGTCTCTCACATTTCTTCATGAATAATTTATAATATCAAATGTACACAATTATGGCTATTAACACTGTGCATAATTTGTCTCAAAGAATTATAGAAACTTTAAAAAATTACATTTACTGATATATCTCCATTATTCACTGAAATACATACAACATTGCCTGTACAAAATTAAGCACAGTAATATGAGTAAGGTTTCCATTGGAAACACGAAGTTGGCCATTCTTCATGGATTTGGCATATCCTAACAAGGACAAGGCTCTGTACAGGAAAACTGTCCATAGTTTTTCACCATCAGTCTCAGGGATGGAAGTTCCATGCACACATGAAAGTGTATCCCTTGGTCCTATGAACAGCTGCTGGAGTTATATAATGTGAGAACAGTGACAGTCCAGATCATCTCTTGCCAATAGCTCAACTGCCAGCATCCTGAAACAAAAATATACACATTTCTTCAAATAAATTATTCTGAAGTATGTAGTTAAAGTAATGTTACACAAATTAAAATTCCAAAAACTTGTACTGTTATAGAACATACCTCAACAAATTGGTTAAAAATCATAAACAACTGTAAGAAATAAGACTTTTAAATCGACTACATGGTCAAAGGTGTTCCTTCAATAAATGAAATATCTTCATACGATCAAGAAGACTGAGACCACCATGGTCATCAGTAAAGACCCTCATTCAGCAGTAGTATTCAAAGTTTCACAGCTTGTTTGTCTGAGATTCACTTTTAATATGTAATTCTTACACTTATTCTTCAGTCTTCCACATGCAACTCCTCCCGTTAGGTTTTCAAAATCTGTACAATTTTAGATACTGCTATATACACGACATATCACACAGAGCCCAGCTTCCACATCTGACTGTCCTCAACAGCAGTAAGTGAATAAATCTGAGGTATTCATAGCAGCAAAGATTCCTAGTGTGTGTCTACTTTGTTATGACACTGTTTGCTTGGTTGATGGTCACCAGAGTTCTGCAGAAACATACTGCTTCCATATTCATGAGAGTTGGAAAATCAATGACAATCACTTGTGAGATTATACAGAACCGTAACTCAGCAGGCTACAATACAAATACTAAGTGAAGCATACACATTATTTAAAAGTCTAATATCTCAATTAGTATCTTAGAATCTCAGTGTAAAGGCAACTGTCTTTCCAAAGCATTACAGTTCCTGGGGTAGATATTTTTGACAAAATCTGTTTTTAATAATTCCCCACTGAAATTTCAATGAGCTTTGTTGCTAGTACAAACAAACAGGTAGAGAGGAGACAAGAATACACAAGGGTCAAAAAGTAACTGCAGCAACAATTTCCTGAATTTAATCTACTCTTAATTTCTTCACAACATGCAAAGAAAGTATTTGGAAAAATTAACACAAAGATATATATTATTCATAATACTTATTTCCTTAAAAAATTAATCTTCACTGATTAAGACCTGCCTTCTTTAAATCATATGGCTCAAAGCAAGGTAATTACATGATGTATGACCATACAGACCAGAGGCATACTGACTGCATAAAAGAAGCGAAGTGTTAGTCCACAAGTAAACGCTTGGCATGTCAGTACACCTCTGTCAGGCTTAAAATTATGTGAAAATAAAAACAAGCAAAATAAATAATTTTGTTTACTATTTATTTTAGTCTATACACAGAATGCATCACAGAATTTTCTGTTTCTCTATTTGTGACTTTCATTTCTTCTACAATTACAATAATTGCAAAATATTAAGTTTTAGTTGCCTGTAAACACAATGGCTGAAACTACGATTGGGACACATTTGTGTTATTAAGCACCAGTACCAACAATTCGAACAGGTGGGTTGCATTTAATTGTACAAGGATTTCTGTTGGAAGGTACAGGGGTGTAAGTTTGAACATTCATAAAGGGAAAAATGTACATTCAAAATTTTTAATTCAGTTCAATTCAAGAACTTTACAACTAAAAATGTTTATGAAGAAAGCAGTCTTCTGGGATTTGGCACCATGTATATGTGGTGTTAACCGACGTTTCGGAGGAACGTATCGCCTCCAGTTTCAGGGTAGAAGAAAAAATATAAGAAATCTGCAAGCGAAGAGACCGTGAGAACTGGTAAAAGCAGACGTCAGTTAACACCACATATACACGGTGTCAAATCCCAGAAGACTGCTTTCTTCATAGTCACCGCCCTGAAAGCCTCAAATCTTACAAAAATGTTTATATTCAAAGTGGCATAAAAATGTCCTTTTAACATTAATAACGAAGGCATTACTCGAAGCTCTGTTATAAAAACATACTTCAGTACTTTAACCTAATCAGACAGTGACACCACAAAAGATGAAGCCCCATACTTACAGACGAAACCATGTGTTGCCTAGTCAGGGCTATGGCACATGTGAGGAGGTGGTGACAGATGTGAATGTGGCAGAATGATGAGTAGCAGGATAAAAACAAAAAGAAAAGAAATGAAAAAACTTGGAGGAAACCCTGCTCCATTGCCAATCTGCCCATGCTGAATCTTACTAAAGTCACCAAAGATTCACTCTAAGACTCCCTGATAAGAAGCCGGTGCCCAACTCCCTCAGCTACTGATAAGGCCATAAGAAGCTCACATTTTTCTTAAACATTCCTCTGGAAACAGGAGTAATTTTAAAAATTATCTTCCTCCCTTCCATGGAAAAGCAGACAGACAACTCAAGAAACAAGAAAAGTAACCTCTAAAAGTGAAGTGGAATACCTTCAGAGGCTGATCCATTTCGGTTTGAAACGGCTCAGTGACGAGTCTCTGCAACTCCTGGTCCAAGCTCAGCATGCCTTCTCCACCATGGCATCCCACTCTGAGACACCTCTAGTCTGCTGTCAACTGACGCTGTATTCGCTAACCTGTCAAAAGCAAAGTTTCACATTTCATATAACACAGAATGTACAGACACTTTACGTGTAATACATTTTTTCTGAAAATTTAAATTGTGGTCTCTTCTGTTATAGTACCATGTAGCTTCACAGGTGATTACCAACATTTGGGGGCAACCTGCTACCTCCATCTTCAGGGTACACTGTTACCTGTAATATGTTGATAACCATCTACAAGACTTCAGTATTGGAACAGAGAAAACCACAATCTATATTTTGCCAAACTTAAAAATATGGTATGCAGTGTGCTTATGACATTCTTGCTCTCAGAACGTGGTGCATATTTTTTTGTTCAAATTTCCAAAATCTGAATAGATCAGAAAGTGAGGTTATACTCATTTAGACATTTGAAGACACTTTGCATGGGCAAAATTTATGTTGGATTAGTTTATGCTTGGTTAGGTTAGTGTTTCAGTTAAGGTTTTATTATGATACAACACTTTCCACAAATTCATGTCTCACAACAAACCTCTAGGGGAAAAAATGGTTTAACTGCCATCCTCTTCATCGCTTGCATCCTGTTGTGTTTCTCAGATATACATGTGTATAGGAATTATGTCTATTATATGAATATATGAATAGTCTATTACAGAATGAACATCTTATGAACAGAATGACCAGGTAAAACATGTCAAAACTATTAACTAACTCCATTACTTTTAGATGGAGCAAGGTCCTTCTAGAGAATCTGACATTCACTCAGCTGGTTAAGAAATTCCCCATCTTTTATGACAGATGTTCACAGTGGTGTGCAAAGTTGACCATATTCTTCTGAGTCAGCCAAAATCCAGTTCACATTCTGCTTTTCCTCTTTGAAACTGAGTGTGAAATGTATGCTGAAATATTTTTCCCATTTCTCCCATTGTACATGAACACTTGTTTCAATGTGTAATTCCAAAGTGTCATGTCAATATAAAAGTAATGTGAATGACTGACTGTTTATCTCGGAAACAGAGGCTTGGCATTACAGCTGACAATATTAATTAACGATCTTGGTCTGTCATACCCTGGATGCTTAGTAGTCTGTTTTTGTGTTTCATTACTGTAGTCTTATGTCATATTAGTATGTTGCATTCTTTTATATATATATTTTATAACAGTCTTAATGATTTACTCATTGTGATTTGTCTTGGATAATATGTGTAACTGTTATGGATTAAGTATAATTAATTTTTATTTATGAGTATATAACTGATGGGATTTATCCTGTTGTCTTTGACTATTTCTATACCCACTGGTCTTCCAGCCATGTAAGGATCCATGGAATGTAAATAAATGAATGAACGAATGAAGGGAAAAAGCACACACAACATTAGCTCACTTCATAGTTAGTATTCAAATATTTAGTGGGATGGTACTGAAGATAAATTGTAATATGGATAGGCTTTTATCCTGTCGACTACGACAAACATCTGAAGCCACAGGACGAGAGCTAACGCGAGTAGCATGTCCCCTCCAAGGGTCTACCCATTTTTGACAGGCTCTGAGATAATCTCCCCATAGTTCCGTATATTTTACCTTTTAGATTTTGATATGCGACGCGGGAATATCAAATGTCGTGAACAGTATAATGTATTCCCCAAATTTTACCTGCTGTGTTTAACATTTCATAACATGCAAATTCCTTTATGGGCCTGTTAGTCCTCCCTTCCCTTATACATGTGGGCGATTCTTTATTCAAATATTCATACCCGTACGTCTAGAGACAAGAGCCCTGGATTTGTAACCTGCAATGCGCTTCCTATACAATGGATGGCGGGGGCCCGTTCCCCGGGGGTAAAACGGCCGTGGCATTCCCCCATAAGAAATTACGTAGTGCTTAACTACTTAAGCACAGGGACAACGTTACTTTATAGGTTGAAACGAAGGACACTTCATATTGTTTATAACCGACAACATTTTTCATCGCTGCTATATACCATAACACCACCACCAGCAGCACTTGTTGAAACGAAGAAATATGGAAGGAATGAAAAAGGGACAGAACAAAATGTGGTCCTGCTTGCCTGCTGATGTCACGGCGTAACCGTGGCGGTCCGACATATGGCACGGCTTACCAACAGATTTCATGCAGCAAATAAAAAACATTTTTCCCTCCACATCGTAAGGTTGGTGTGAAATCTGAGAATATGATCCGGGATCCCGCTGTGTCAGACTTTCTATGGAGGAAGGAGCCGTCCTTGGTGCGTCAACGTTAAGAGGCCAGTGAATCCTGTGATTTGTTGAAGGGCGTCTTCATACGAGAACCCTGAGGTCCACGCCTTGCTTGGCAGCTGACTTGTATCGGACACAGGATACATGAGTGGAGCTTGTTAACTCTTGGAAATTGTCTTTAGGCAAAAACATAAGTTTACTTAAGTGGCCAGAGAGTTGCTGTGGTTATAAGTTCAACATTCAGAGAACACGTAACCGTTTGTTGATTATGGAATTGAAACATGTTACTAAAATAGCAACGGTAGGCCTAGTACAGATTCTGTGGGAAGGTGATTTCGGAAGCACTAATGCTCCGGCCCTCTGCCTTTAAAAAGTCAAAGTTTAACTATAATTAATTTGTGAATACATCACCACAGAGTTAAAATCGGAATAAATAAATAACAAAAAAGAAATGAAACCGTCGTAAAGCAATAACAAGGTTATTCAAAACCTTGTATGCATTAGCCTCTTTAGCCGTGGCCGGTGCCCCGGAAATGTCCTTAACATAGTAGTAGTAGTAGTAGCAGCAGAATGATGATTCTGAAACTTACTTAATGCAGAATTTCACCTAATATTGTACGACGGCGATTAACACACGAAGTAAAGCACAGATGGAACACGTATAAGTAGAATGCATAAGGGAACAGAACAGAAAAGAGGTCTTATGGCAGACCGATGGATAGTACCTGACCACGTTAAATTTAACTGTTCAAAGTATGCGAACTAGTAAACATTTCGTGGTGGGGGAAGAAACAGATTACAGTGGTCACCGCATATTGCGTTGTATCTACTTGTATTATGCAGGGGAAAAAAAAACCTCAAACAGTGATGAAATCTCCCAACATTTAATGGAACCTGAAAATTCAATACCGAGCTTACAAGATGCCGCTACTGGTCCACAGTCCTGATCTTGCGCTGCTTACGAATATTAGCAAAGTACAGGCGGCGTCTGGGTTGCAGGATGTTCTGAATACGGTACATAACGGATTGATCTTTATTAGGCCCTATGAGAACTGTTTCGTTAAGTGTTTCCGAGTACAGAACATCAGCATTATACAGCAGACATGAGGATGGCCAATGCAACCGTTCGAGAATCCAGCAGGATACAAATATTTGGGAATGACATTAACAAGTCAAAAATAGACCCACGTTCACAAAGGAATGAAGAGCAGACTAAATTTGTGGAAGGCTTGCTACAATTTAGTTCCACTGGGTTCTGTCTCTGTTCCCGTCCCCTAGTTAAAACATAAAGATTAAAATAAATTATACTTTTACTCGAACTCCGGTCCCTCGGTCGTCCAGCCCGTAGCCTGTCGCTACACCGACTGAGCTATCCCGGCTCTTCCTTCGTCGGGTTATACATAAAGTAATGTTTCCGTGCTCAATTACGCACCACACCAGTAAGATGTATGTGAAACACTGGAGGTACAGCTCCACGTATTCTTAAATTTGACACTAATAGAAGGAGAGTTGTCAGAGTTACGTTCTAGCCGTCTTATTTAGGGGAATGAGCCCCCAGTACTCATGAAATGGGAGGCTGGACAGCACCGAAAGCCGATCTGAGCGGTGTGGAGAAGAAAAACCCGCGATTATCCCCTTTCCAGTTCATTGTAGATTAAAGTTTACAATTCAGGGTGGTCGTTAACGATCCGCAGAGCGCTGTGAACGCGTTTAAATTCAATCATGTATGGCCTGGGGACTAAATGGGATTTTAATAATGATATAGAATGTGGAATTGGCAATTCTTCGTGATTCCTTCCCCCACCCCCTGAGGTGTAATTAAAACACGAACCCTGTCCGCTGAACTGATAGAGAATCCGCCATTTTTTTCGAAAGTGAAAATTAAAACCTGATCGCTGTACCGCATCTATTGTAACACTCATGGGGCCTTATAGAAGTCACGAACACGTATGAAAATCCGTAGTGACTTCAAGGCAACCCACTTCAGGTGCTGGAGCTCGATGCCTGCGCACCGAACAGGTTGGTCTAGAAGTGGCGCTCTAAGGTTTATATTCAGTAAGAGCTTGCTCGAGTCTCGGTCGGGACACTAGCCATCTTGCTCCGAGTAATTCATGGGTGTTCTCCCTCCGGGTAAGTGGGGTCCTCACACCGGTGGTCATGAACACTTCAATCTACTGAGCGTTACCTCCCACAAGATAGAATTCTTCGGTATTATACCTTCACTAGACCACGCCCGCTTTCTTCCAAATCCTTCCTCATTCATCCCCTCGGAAGCGTCGTAAAGTATCCCCCACAAAGGATTCGAAGTTTGTTCTTCTGTTTCTATGCTTTAGAGTTGGGAAAAAAATCAGAATTAAGAATGCCACCTTCTGGGATGTGGCGCCGTGTAGATATTGTGCAAACCGACGTTTCGGAGGAACGTTCGTGTATACAATATCTACACGGCGCCACATCCCAGAAGGTGGCATTCTTAATAGTCACCGCCGTGAGAATCTCAAATCCAGATCTAATGTTCGCCGATCCCAGTGGCCGCGCAGTCTGAGGCATGAACCGTCTTAGCCCGCTCAAACACTGGGATCGTGGGTTCGTATCCCACTTGAGGCATGGATGTCTGTGTACGTTTATTCTGCGTTTCAGCTGTTCTGTGTGTAGGTTGCGGCCTTGCGATGGGCTGATCCCCCTTGCAAGGAGTCCTACCGACTGTGGAAAAAGATTAAAACTGAAACAGCGACCAAGGCCCAACAAAGGGCTGTAAGTAGGTAGGCAGGTAGGTAGATAGATAAGACAGATATATAGAGAGAGAGACAGACAGACAC